AGTATTGGAGCCTCAGCTTCAGGATCTGTCCTTCCAGGGAGCACTCAGGGTTGATTTCCTTTAGAATGGACAGGTTTGTTCTCCTTGCAGTCCAGGGGACTCACAAGAGTCTCCTCGAGCACCACAATTCAAAAGCATCAATTCTTTGGCGGTCAGTACCCCCGGGCTTTTACAAAGCATACCTCCTTTGCTCCTGAGCTGCCTTGTCAGCCACAACACCCACAGAGCAAAGTTTTTTCAAGGCTGGCCGGCTATTAGAAAATCTTTGCTAGATTCAGGTAGAGCACAGAACATGTTCTTTCAGTTTTGTTTCTCACTACAAGTTATTCAACTTTCCTTTAAGTCACATGCAGTTTTCTTGAGCTCCCTATGTGATTTCCTTGGGGGTGCAGAAGCAAAAGAGCTGGTCCTCTCTCTTCAGAGGGAATCCCCCACGCTGCTGGTAAAAAGCTAGTCTGCTATTCTAAATCAATTATTTCTAGCCCTCCAACATCTGTCACCATTTTAAATCTGCCGTTGTAGCTAAAGTGTAGCTTGGAGAACTTGATTATTTTTTTTTCACTTAAAGAAATGTAGCATGGATATTTAGATACGCAAGGAGTTTCTCCTGCTATGAAAATCTCAGGATATCTTCAAAACAATAGGCTAGAAAAGTAATGTAAAAGGGAGAAGGAAGAAAGAAAGGGGAAATGCCGTAGCTGAAAAATTTTTTCCCCTTCAGTGTGAGCTCTCCTCAATCAAAATCCACAGAGAAGAAGATATAGGAGTGCAAAATCACCACAACAGGAGTTGTTGCTTTCCACTCCCAAGTTAATGTTTGACTTTTAAAGGGACTCCTTTACAATCTCTACTTAGCAACTTTTTCTGAACATCCTTTATTGCCAATAATTTGCTAAAAGTGAAAACGCTACTTTGCTTTATGTTCTGGATTTAGCCTAGGCAGTTGTGTCAGTCAAGGCTGCATTTTATCCCTTTGTTCAATCATCATCATCATCATCATCCTAGAAGTTGGGAACGGGAAAGGACCCTATTAATCATCACATCCAGCCCTTCTCAAGGAGGCACTGTGGGGAATCAAACTTCCAACCTCTGGCTCTGCAGCAAGCTAGCTAAACCATTGAGCTACCCTAAATCTGTACACAGAATATAACATATGGAAAGCTGAACTAGATTCAGATTAAGGAGGAGTGAAAATTGATGGAAGAAACATTAGTGATTTGAGATATGAAGATGATACCATTTCACTGGCAGAAAGCAGCAATGACTTGAAATGATTTTTAGTGAAAGTGAAAGGAAGATATGAGATGACTATTACAAAACTTTAAGGTTGATAATGAAAAAATTGATTCATTTGGAATACGGTGCTGGAGCAGAGCTTTGTGGATACCTGGATTGCCAGAAAGACAAACAAGTGGGTCCTAGATGAAATCAAGCCTGGACCGTTTCTAGAGGGGAAAATGTTGAAACTGAGGCTGTTCTGCTTTGGGCACATCCTGAGGAGGCAGAGTTGTCTGGAAAAGACCACCATGTTGGGAAAAGCGGAAGGCAGCAGGAAATGAGGAAGACCAAAGACAAGATGGATTGACTCCCTAAAAGAAGCCAGAGGGTTGAATCTGCAAGAGCTGAGCTCAGGACATTTTGGAGATTGTTCCATTCCTAAGATGGCCATGGGTCCGGAGGCGACTTGACAGGACAGAATAACTACAATAAGAGCCCTCCGGTTTCTGCTGTAAAGCTCTCTGTTCCACCTCTTCCCCCCCCCCATGTCTACTCTAATCGTCAGGAGGATTCTGAGGATCAAATGGGGGCGGGGGTGGGCACCGCTTGCCCCGAACCCTTTAAACGATCGCCACGAGGAAGGGTCTCCTCTCTCCAAGGCCAAGCACTCTCTGGGTCTCTTTGACCGAACTTGACTTTGGGGGGGAAAAACTGTTTACGTGAATTTATTTGGCAAAATGCGAAGAAACAAAACAAGGCGAAGCAAAAACAGGTGGCACCTTAAAGACGAAGTATTATATTTTAATGTGAGCTTTCCCGGACACGAGACCCCTTCCTCAGACATACGGGAACAGAACATTCGCGGTTACAAGAGTCGCTCCGTGTTTTGTGCAAAGATCTTTTCT